TGAACCTCTGTGTGCTGTGATTGCAACACCCTTCTCTAGAAGAGGAGTCAGTGCAAACACCTGCTAATTCTCTGGAATCAGGATCAGACTTCTGAAACTGGGGGGTGGGGGTGTCTGCTGGGATTCCCCACCTCCCCAGACCCCCTAATACTGCCCTTATTTTCCTGCCATGATTCCCCCAAACTCCCACCCCATTTCCTGGTTTCATGGTAGCCTTAAATGGTCAGGCTCTGTGGTTTGAACACCTTGAACCTGGTCTTTGTCCTTGCAAGCTCGGTTCCTCCTTTCTCAGAGCCTCAGTGAATCCATCTGAATAGCGAGACTGATGATAGTTCCTGCTGTCTGGACAATGAAAGGAGCTGAGATGCCTCAAAGCCCCTAGACCCAAGGGATGGAGGGGAAAGTGCAGCAAGACACCCACTGGGAGGGACAGAGGTGAGAGCAGAGATGCTTCTTGACTTTTGTGTGTGAAATTTGGGAGGGGGATGGTGAGCAAGATAAACCAGAAGTGAAGGGGTAGGGGAGATGCCTTGTAGGGGACTTCCAGTTAGCAGGCCCACCTGGCGCAGAGGGTGGGCATGGAAGGAGGAAGGGCGAGGCTGCCTGGGTAGATGGTAAGTGGGCCTTCTGAGACATGCTTGTACTAACAAAGTACCTGTTTTTTATCTGAAATTCAAATTTAACTGGGTGCTCTGTACTTTGCCTGACATTAGCTGGTGTACAAGGAGAGAAGAAGAAGGAAGTGGAAATGACTTCTGGGTGGGGAGTCTGGGTACCCCTCTCCCACCCCACCCCTGCCTGGGTGCAGTTATCTCCCTGCTGCAGCCCCACCCTTTCCCCACACAGGCACTGCCAGGCCTGGAAACAGCAAGAAGCCCCCCTCGCTCCTGGCCCCCCTCTTCCAAGACAGGATCCTTGCTACACCCTCCACGACCCACAGCCAGGTTTTCCCTGCCTGCCCCATCCCACTCATTACTCATTAACTCATAGGTAACCTTGACCTGGCTGAATCAATCCGCCTGCCCTATGGCTCCTTCACCCCACGACCTCATGCATACTCAGCAGTGGCCTGGGCACCAGGGACCCCCATCCTGGGAGGACACAGCAGGCAGGTTTCCATTCTAGTTTTGACTTCTCCAGAGTGTTCCTGATCTGTACACTGGACTTTCAGTCATGGTACCTCCCTCCAAATGTTGGGGTGACAAGCAGGTGGCATCAGGCAAGGAGAATGCTCAGTGTGGCACCCTGCACATGGCGAGCGCTGGATGTGCTTGAACCATATGCTCTTGCTGACACCTGCTCCTATTCTCTGTCACGTGATTTCGCTGGCAGCCCCAACAGGCCTCCCAGCCGGCAATTGCTCCCTTCCTCCCCCTCCTTCCCCCTCTCCCTCTGTGTCCAGCCCCCACCAACCCTTGGACTGTTTCTCTGAGCCCATCCCTTCTTTCCACCCCTGTGTTCCCTGGCTTCCCTGCTGTAGACTCGCCCCTTCCAGTTCATCTCTACCACATTAACTAAGGATTTTTTCCCAAAGCAAACCTTTGTGTTCCTTTACAAAGTTATGACGTATAACGTGCGAACACATGCTGCTAATGGCAAATGTCTCCATAAGGTTCAGCTGGCAGCTTCTTGTCTATTTCATCTGGTTTATTTCACATGCCTTAGGTGCTACTTCTATCCCCACTTTACAAATGAAGAAACTGAGGGCTTTGGCCATGTGCCCAAGATCCTCTAGTTGGTAAAGCCTGGGATTTGAACCCAGACAGCTGGACTCCAGAGTTCGTGCTCCTAGACGGTGTGAATTTTTTTGACTGTTGCTGTAACAAATGCCTGTAAGCGTGGTGGCTTAAAACAACATCTATTCATTACCTTATAGTTCTGGAGGGCAGAAGTCTGAAATGAAGGCGTTGGCAGGGCTAGTTCCATCTGGAGGCTCTCGGGGAGAATCTGTTCCCTGCCTTTTCCAGCTTCTGGAAGCTGCCTACATTCTTTGGCTCATGGCTCCTTCCTGCATCTTCAAAGCACATCACTCCAGCCTGTCTCCATCCTCACGTCCCATTCTCTGACTCTCATCCTTCTGCCTCCCTCATATAAGGACCTGTGATGACACTGGGCCCACCTGAATAATCCAGAATAAGCCCCCATTCAAAGATCCTTTACTATCGTACCTGCAAAGTGTCTTTTGTCATGTCATGTAACACATTCACAGACTCTGGGGATTAGGATGAGGATGTTTCTAGGGAGCCGTGACTCTGCCTACCCCGGCATTCCTGTGGATAAAACACCGATCCTGTACGGCCATGTCCCTCCTTGCTTCGAACTCCTCCTTGGTGCAAACAGTCCCTGGCACAGAGTCCAGGTGTGTCTGCCTGTTTTAAGGTTTCTGCCAGCTGCTCTTGCCCTTCCACTTGCCCCAGCCAACCCTGCAGTAGGACTTGAAAGCTATTCTGGACTCCTCTACCTTGCTCAAATAACTTCCTCAATCTGCAGTGTCTTCCCACTTCCTTGTCTGGCTGGGCTATTTATTCATCTGAGCACCAGTTACACTTGTTTCCGCCTGCAGGAAGCCTTGACCCCAGCCTGGTTCCTTAACCCCTGTCCTATGCCAGGGGTCCCCACTGAGGAATGTTTCTCAGAGCTTCAGAAGGAGTCCTGGGTGCTTTAATTAAAGGGAGAGGCTGGGTCTTGGCTGGTGTAGCTCACTGGGTTGGGTGTCGTCCTGCCAACCAAAAGGTCTCTAATTAGATTCCCGGTCAGGGTGCATGCCTGGGTTGTGGGCCAGGTTCCCCAGTTGGGGGATGGGAGCATCGGAGGCAGCTATCAGTGCTTCTCACTCTCTTTCTCCCTCCTTTCCCCTCTCTCTAAAATAAATACATAAAATCCTTTTTTTTTTTTAAGGGTGAGGTTGGGGTGGGAAGGACGAAATACATTTTGGGAGCCTGTCCACAGGTGTGTGCACAGGTCTGTCTCTAACCTGAGGTCACTCCCCAAGGTTTGGGCAGTCCATGAAAGGTCAGGCTGTGTTGCTGGGCATTGCACTGAGCCAGAAATACATCCACATGTGATACTCAGTGACCCCTATTTTACATGTGACGAAACAGAGATTAAGCCACTTATCCAGGGCCACACAGCAAATAAGGGAAGATCAAGGTGTGGTCACTGACATTTTGAGTCCTGAATCTCCACTAACTCCTTAGCTGTGTGACCTTGGGCAAGTTACTCAGCCTCTCTGTGCCTCATAAGCTTTGTAACAAGTTAAGGTCCACGGATAGCTACTACTACTTATACTCGTCACCTGAGCCACTTGTGGGTCTCTCAAGCACCATTCTTCCTCACCACCAGCCTTTGCACATGCTGTTCCCTCATCTGGACCAGCATCCCTCCCAGCACTTCCCCATTCACTTCCCTGCCTTCCCAGGCTGAGCCAGGGCCCTGTGATGAAACTGTCTGATGGCATGTCCCTCTCCCTGTCCCTCTCCCAACCTCCCTACCCTCAGGGACTGTGAGCTCCTTGAATGTGGGGACTGGGTGGGTCTCGGCCACCACTCTGTCCTCAGTGCTCAGCATAGGGCTCACTCACAGTAGTTGCTCAATTCATAGTTATTGTGTGTGAAAGTTATTGTGTGGGTACTGCAACTGCCCTTCCAGTGAATAATACAGGTTTCTAAGTTGTAACACAGCCTGTGTCAGACCTCGACCCCCAGAAAGGCAAGAAACCAGGACAGCAAAACAGATTGATCATTTTTAATGTTTTTTTAAATCCTTACCTGAGGATATGTTTATTGATTTTAAGAAAAACATCTATAGGTCGCCTCTGCTTCACGCCCTGACTGGGGATGAACCCCAGACTGGGTATGTGCCCTGATGGGGGATGGAACCCTCAACCCTTCGGTGTACAGGGCAATGCTCCAACCAACCGAGTCACCTGGCCAGGGCCAAACTGGTCATTACTGCATAGCTTCCAGCAGGGGACGGTCCCAGGTGGGGACAGGGCTCCCCCATACTTCAGGGAATAGGGGGCTGTCCATCTTCTTCTGAATGGGCTCTGGGATCACCACCTGAGGGATTTGGTGCCTTATGCGCACAGGCCCTCCTCCTTCTCAACCCCCACACTGTGGGAGAAAAGCCAGAGTGAGGAATGTGTGAGCAGAGGAGAAAGCAGGAAGGTGAAAAGGCATGGCCTGAGATGGGCAGGCGGGGTGGGGGATGATCACAAAGCTCCTGCCCACTGGCTGTTTAGTTGACTTTGGGAAGGCCTTCCCAGAACCCAGAGTGGATCATCCTAGAGGCAGACAGCAAGGTGATCCTGGAGGTCAGGGTGCCAGGCACTGTCCCCAGGGTCCTCACCAAATCCATTTTCTGAACCTTCTGGCACTGCTCCCAGAGCTGTTCCCACCCCACTCCACTCCCAGAACTGCCAGCTGGTCTGAGTTGCCAGGCCCCACCCACCCCACCTCCACCCAATCCAACCCCAGAGCCTCTGGTCTTACTCACCAGAGCCCTGTCCACTCTGGCCCAGGGCTCACACTGACTTGAGGGGGGGAGTGGGTTGGGTCCTGCCTGCTGGAACTTGTAACCTGTGGTGAGCAAGATCTGGGGGACAAGGTTGGGGGATGAGTGAAGCATTAGGCACATACCTGTCTCCCCAACCTCCATTGTCTGGCCACCCTCTTTCCACCCTACCTGAGGCCTCTGTGCTCACCTGGGACAGCCACTGCTACTAGAAAGGCATGGCCACCCGCAGCAGGATGGCAATGTGAAGTAGATGTAACAGGTGACCTGCAAGGGACATGTGTGGGCATAGGGCCTGGTAAGATCAGAGGGTCCACTGGGGATGCCTGGGTGGGGCCCACAGAGAGTAGGCAGAGAGCTGAGTGGAGGGGCTCAGATAAAAATTATTTTGGGGGGGCAGTTAGGGAGGGTGTGCCAATGGGTGGCTGTCCTTCCCCTCAACACTTTCCTCACGAGGGAAACGCCATTCCTACCACAGTACAGTAACGCTAAAACAGCTTCAGTCTGGCCAGGTTCACTGCCATGGATGCATGAGCACAGAGAGCTGGAGTTAGGGGATGGGGCTGGAGGCAGGACCAATGGGAGGAGGGTGGAGGCCAGCTGGGCACAGGGAGGACATGGGCAGAACGTCTGGAGGGGGATGTCCAGGAGACAGTGAGGGGGTAGAGAAGCAGGATGGGCAGTCAGAGGACAGGGAAGGGACATCCAGGGGGTAGCAGGAAGGGCCTGGAGCACAGCAGACCCTCGGGAGCAGGGCTTCACCCTTCCCGTCAGTGCCAAATACACCCTGAAGATGTCGATGGCCCTGGGAAGGAGTGGGAGACCCAGGGAAGAGTCAGTGCTGGCTCCACCCATGTCCGTGGGGGCGGGGTCTGGGCCTGGTGGAGGGCAGGGGCAGAGTCCTCACCGACCACAGGCAAGAGGATGGCATCGCAACAGATACGATCCACCAGAAAGAGAAGCCCATAGTCGCTGACGCCCTCCTCACCGGACTGATGATGATGCAGGCCATGTTGGCCAGCACCTGTGGGGCAGGAATGGGGTGGGTGGGCCTGCCCCCTGTGTGCAGGCGTACCCACCTGCTGCCCACACGGGGCCCTAGAAGGACCTGTTTCAGGATCATAATCCCAAAGATCTTCTTGCTGAACAGAACATACTTGACAAGGGACCAGCTGGAACTGATCAAGGCAATGGTGATGAAGCTCCTTCAGCCTGGAGGTTGGGGAGGGGTGTGGTGAGATGGGGCACCCAGCCCTTCCCTCCACTGCCTGCCACCTGCCCGGCAGAGGTCACTGTTGTGTGTGATGTAGTGCATGACAGTGAGGCCGTTGATGGGGTGGCCCTGGCTGTTGATAAAGCAGTAGTCGATCTGGAGGTAGACAGAGGGACAGTCAGACAGGGGTTCTAACAGGTGGTTGGTGGTGGTTTAGGAGCACGAACAATCATTTTCAGATGGGTGGCTAGAAAGCCAACTGAACTGACGGCGACTATCATGATGGTGAGTGGACTCAGATGTGGACACTCACAGTCCAGTAATGGCTAGACCAAGGGATGGGCAGTGATGGGCAGTCACGGCCACAGAAATGGAGGAGAGGCCCTAGTTAGATGGATGAACAGTGAGACAATCGGTCAGGCAGACAGTCACGGATGGACAGAAGGACAGGTAGACAGATGAAGTGGATAGACAGCTGGCAACAATGATAAAATGGATGGGCACATGGAACTGCCAAGCCCAGGATCTGCAGAGATTTGAGGAGCGGCCTGTTTAGGCTGCTTGCTGGACCCAGGAAGCCCAGGCGGCCCCCAGACCCAGGCCCAGGCTCAGGCTCTGACACTGTGGAAGAGGAGCGAGACACTCTTGGTGAAAGCCAGGGCCACATGAGTCAGTGGATCTTGAAGACGTTGCACCTGGCAGGGGGGTCAGGGACAGAAAGGGGTAAGGAGGCATCTGTCAGGGGAAGGGATGGGAGCAAGCAGTGAAGGGAAGTGGGGGACCCCCCGGGGAAAGGGCATTATGTGTTCTTGCAGAAGACAGATGCCCAGAAGAAGCCAGCAGCCAGGAAGCAGGCAGACATGACCATAGACAGCTTGAAAGGGGAATTTCCACCACCTGCAGGAAGCCCTCAAGGTTTTTCTCCTGGACCATTACCTAGGAAGGGGGTAGTAGGTGGGTGGGGGGAGTTGCATGCTAGCTCTGGATCTACAAAACCATGCACAGGAGTCTCCAGCTCTCCTATTCTCTAGCTGGCCGACTCCCAGTCTCTGAGCCTCAGTCTTCCCACCTCTAAAATGGGTACATCAGCTTTCATTCCATACCATAGCAGCCAGGAGGACCTGACAAAGCTAAACTCAGTGTGGCATACCTAAACTGTAGTTAGAGCTCTGTGAACCTGCTGCCCTCCTATCGGCTATCTGTGATGTCCAATGGCTGCTCCTACCCCAGCATCAAGCTACAGCAGTTGTGGAAATTGAGGCTATATTGGTCTTCCTTGGCACTCAAGCCAATCACCACATGGAACTGGGTAGTGGGGCAGATGGAGGCAACAGCTTGGGGTGACAAGGGAGCTGCAGGCGCTCACAGACACTCATGCTGTAGTTGTGGGAATTGTTGCAATGGCCCCCAGATCCTTGTCCTTTGCACTGAGGCCCTGAGGGGAGAGAGAGAGCACCTCCACTGAACATCAACTGGCCCAGGTCTCCATTCACTACCCTCCAAGCCCCAAGGCCTGTCTCTTTCCTGCCCTGGCTTCCCCAAACTATGGGAGGCAGTTAGACAGCCGTGAGCAGAACAAGGATGAGGGCCCGGGTACATAAGCTCTCCAGGGCGGAAAGCCCCGGGTGCCCAGCAAGGGGCAAAACTGGGAAAACAAGATCTAACCCGCAGGGTAGCCTTTCCTCCCTGAGCATACTGCTAGTCATGTGATTTAGACGCCTTGACCTTTCATACCACTGTCATGCAGTTGGGACCCTTCCCTGGCTTGTCACTAGTCATGTGGTAGACCCCCTTGCAGGAGGAACGAGCGGTCAGAGAGGGGCCTCATGCGACTCCCACCAGGCCCTGCACCACCACACCCTTAAGCATTAACCCCTCGGGATAACATCTAGGCCTCAGTTGTGTTTCAGCTCCAGGCCCAGAAAAGCAGAAAAACCAAACAAGTGACACCACGGCTTCCTCAGGATCAGCTGCATTGACTAATGACCCCCTGCCCTGGCACCAAGAATCAGTAGGGACCACAACCCTGAAAGGACACTCCTGGAAAGCTGATGAATATTCTACTAAGATCCTCCCAAGACCACCCCTAAAACCCCTGCCTTTAAAACCCTCAAGATGAAGAGCTAAAACAAGATGAAGATAGGGAACTATTGCTCCCTAGAGTGTGCAGCTTGCATCTTTTCGAGTGTACTTGGCTCTCTTTCCCCTAAGCTCCAACAGCCCTTCTTTTGCTGTCACTTGTTTCTTGAGCCCATTTCTTCTGCAGGTCACTTCTTCTACCTCTGTGACTTTCTCAATAAACTTTCTCTTATAGTTTGAGTCTTGGCTCTGAATTCTGTCTCAGCCAGAACTCAAGTACTGAGGTTGCTGAACCGAGGTCCTGTCTGACTCCATGGGACTGACACCTGGTGCCGTTTGTGCCCCCAGTAGAACCTGCTGGTCTCCTGTGACACTCCAGTTTTTTTTAAAACTGGTCCTCAGTTTCGCCTTGGTCTTGTTGAGCATAGTAGTGGTCCCTGCAGGGGATGAGTGGACGAGTTTAGAGATGGGAGACAGAGAAACAGCAGAAAATGGGGGGAATCCATCTGTCCCCTCCCTGCCCATCTGGCAGCCTGCTTCACCACTGTCACCTTGGGATAGCCTGGTGGTCTGGCTTTAGGAGCCCTGATTCAGAGAGCGAATTGGGGGGATCCCAGGAGAGATGAAGAGCTTCTTCTGCTCCCATACTTTTGCACCTGCACCCTGGAGTAAGGATGGGGGACAGGGAACAGAGGAGGCCATGGGGCTTAAGGCTCTGGTCAGGCATGTCACCTGTGCAAAGGAATGCAATGGCCCCTAGGGCCCTCTAGGTCTCCTTCCTGGGGGCCAGCTTTGGGCTGAATCAGTGGTCACAAAGTTCCAGCATTTGGCCACCACCTACCAAGATGGCTGCCCCATCCATGCACTGCCTACACCAGAGATTATATTGACGCTTCCTGTGACAATGACTCACTTTACCTTATTTTAAAAAGAAAATGCTGTATGTATAGAGAGGCAACATCTCTGTATATACAGAGCTCCAATTGGACCCTTGTGCTAGGATGTCCAGGTCCAAACGCCAGTTCTCAGGCCTCAGTTTTCGTATCTTCAGTATGGGTACAATTACAGAGTAAGGAGTGGATGAGTTAACACCTGTAAAGCTCTCAGGGTGAGCTGCCTGGTGCACTGGGAGCATTCAACAAGTGTGAATGATTGTTTGAACTCTCACAATACCACTGTGTCTGGATCTTTCACCCTGAGGCCCTATCACTCCGTGGGCATCCCATCCCCTCTTCCTCTATGCCATAATCAGAAGGCTTCAAGGGGAATTAAACAGCATGTGGCTTTCTTTCTAACGGTAGTAGAGTTCTTTTCACCTGGCTTCTCATTACACCTGATCAGCTCATGTGGGTATTATACCTAGGAGAATACAGATGATGGGTCTTTAGGGGAGCCCCTGGCCTCCCAACTCATTGCAGGTCCTTGGTGTTGATAAGGAAGAGAAACAGGAGAGGGTGGAGATGTGACAAGGAGAGGACAGTCGTTGGGGCCCTGGGTCTGGGGAGTGGGTAAGAGGGAGCCTTGGTTACCACCTCCCACTGATCCAGTCCCACCCTGTCTCCTCCCTACCCACCCTGCAAGGGAGTCTCTGCTGGCCCTCTCCTCCCACCCCCGGGAAAGAACAGGGACTTTGGGTTCCAGGTGCAGAAGACAGATCCATTCCCCACCATCCTGGCCTCTCCACACCTTCTGCTCACTGAGGAGGATCAAACTGCCAGATTGAACCAGGGTCAGACTGAACCCCACCTGGCAGGCAGAATGTAAAGGGGAGAATGTGAGGGACTCTAGCAGGGACCCACAAAAGCCACCTCTTTCAACATAACCTTGAATTCATTGAACATCCACTCACTCAGTTAATTTTCCTACAACCCATCCTGCCCACACCTCCCAACCCTCTTGCTTTAACTCCTAACCAACCTATGCCACTCACCTTGCATGTCCCTTCCTCAGGGAGACCTTCACTGCTCCTCTGGACCTAGCCCAGCCCTGTTTTCCCCAATTAAAATGTTGATGACAAAAGAAATAATTTTTAAAAATCAAATATAATGTTGATGGTTTCCTGCTTTGGACCGTGAAATCCAGGACACCTGGATTTGCATGCAGGCTCTGACTCTGAGCAAGCCACATACCTCTAAACCTGTGTAAACACTTGTAAAATTGGCTTTACAGGATTAAAATTTTTACAGCGACCCTGAGAGTTGCTACAAGGAAGGAAACCCATGGAAACGGCTTTGCATGATGCAAATGGACATTTAATCAATTCTAGCTACTCATTTTGACTGCGGAACCTGGGGCTGTCGTGTTCATTGCTATGCACTCTCCCTGACCCCAGCTCAGTGCCTAACACATATTGCATGCGATATTATTATTCCCATGTTCTAGATGAGGAAATTGAAGGTCTGAGAGATCAAAGGACTTGCCCAAGATCATATGATGACAGGCAGAGTTAGGATGTAAATCCAGAACTGGGGGGAGGTGGGCTTGGACACTTGTGCACTTCACCCTCCTCTAGCAAACCCCTTAATGTCCCTTACCACAGGAGTCTCCTCAAGGTCCAGCCGCAGGAAGCTGTTTCCAGAGAGCCCTTGGTGTGTAGAATAAGCTGTTTTTCCCTAGCTGGTGTAGCTCAGTGGATTGAGCACCCTCCTCGGAGCCAAAGGGTCCCGGGTCTGATTCTCAGTTGGGGCACAGACCTGGGTTGCAAGGCCAGGTCCCCAGTAGGGGGCGCGCGAGAGGCAACCACACATTGATGTTTCTCCCTTTTTACTTCCCTCCCCTCTAAAAATAAATAAATAAATAAAATGTTTTAAAGGAAAAGCTGTTCAGGTGGATGTCTGGTCGCTTCTCCCCCTGACAGACACCAAGGAACCAGAGGCAGTTCACACTTCTTCCCACCAGCCCAGACTTAGGGCTCTGGCACAAAGATCCCCCAAGAGCCTAGGAACCCCTTTATCTAGGACAGCTCCATCAGTTCCATAGGGATGACAGAACAGGAGGATGTGTCCCCAGAACAATCTCAGGCAGGGGAAGAGTGGCTCCGGGTCCTCCAGGCTCTGTTCTGAGAGTCCAGGAAGAAAGCCTGGGGCACCTGGAAGTGCCCACGCCGGGTAAGTACCATCCTGAAAGCAGTTATTTATTGTGGTATCTGGCCCTTAACCCCCGGGCAACTTTTAGATCTCTGAGTCCCCAAGATTCCAACGAGCGCCCAGAGGACCCCGTTCTAGAACACCCGAGGACTCTCCTGGATGGTGCCAAAGATCCTTAGCGACCCCTGGAGGGCAAAGAGTCTGGGGGGGCGGGTCCCGGGAAGATGAAGATGTGCTCATCGGGGGTGGGGCACAATCCTAGCGTGGTCGACCAGTAACTCCATCCGGAGGATTGAGGATGCTCCCGGGACGACGACACTCCGGTCCTGGAAACCTGGGCGTTGGACCGCTCCATCCTGCATTAGGAACTCGGGAAATAGAATGAGACAACTCCAAGCTAGAAGCTTCTTTGGGACAAAGCTGCGCCCCAAGCCCCAGACCGCCGCACGCTGGGGCATGTCATTAGCACCAGCCGACGGATGCGCCCACCGTAGCAGCAGAAATAGCTTCTGCCCCCACTCCACCGGGCTCCGGCCGGCATGCCCCTTCCTCTGGAGCCATCTCAGGGGCCCTCCTGCTCTGAAACCGCCTTTGACGCTCCCAGGCCCACCTACCGATGAGCCAATCACCTCACGGTGGGGGCCGACCTTGGGGCTTTTCCAGCTAATCTAACAAATTAACGATTGCCTCCTCTCAAACCCGCCCCTACGACACCAAATAGACAGCATTGGCTCGGAATGGGAGTGCTCGCCTCACTTAACCCCGCCTCCACTCTCAACAATCACTTGAACCGTACAGGATGTAACTTGATAAACAATCCATCAACCAATTGTAATAGACCTGATATCTGACCACCCACTCTTAACTGACAGATCGGCCCAGGACTACAGTACCCAGAATGCAGAGGGAGCAAACAGCTCAACAAAGCATTAAGCAAACTACCTTTCCCAGGATTCCCAAGGACCCGTTTCCACTTTCCTTCCCCTGGGATGAGGCTCCCAGCCAGAGTTCAGGGTTTTGGTAAACACGCGTTTCTGTTGTGAGGCTTGTTTTGCTCTAATCTTTTTGATCAACCCCAAAGGCCTAAACCTAGTCCGAGGCTAGATCTTGACCCTAGGATGACCTATGACCCCAGGCTAAGTCCCAGCCTTAGGAGAAGTCCCTTATCCCAGGGTGAGAGAACTAGAGGCCCGCCCCGAGATCCCAGGCTGGTCTTAATTATGGGCTGAACCCAGACCCTAGGCTGAGTCTCCTTCAAGCAGCTGAGCCCCGACTTCAGCCTGAAAGCCTAATTCCCCATGCCCCTCTGACCCTGGACCACCTACACTGAGCCTTCCTCTGTGGTTGGACCACCCACCTGGACTGAGCGTGAACCCCATTTGAGGCCTGACCACTGGACCCTGGTTTGAGTGTTACACCCCTTAGTGGGCTGCTGACCCCTCTGCTAAGCCTCTGATCCATCTGATCTCATCCCAACTTCAGTCCCAATCTGGCTGGCATAAATCCCAATTCTAATCTGAGTTCGAGACCAGAGTTGAGACCCTAATCCCAGGCTGAGCTACCCTGTCCAGACTCCAGCCTCGCCAAACTCCAGCACAACCCACTTTGGAACTTGAGGTTTTCTAGTTTAAAAGCCACCAGCAGGTGGGGCCAGATCCCCACAGAGCCTTCTTTCACAGTGTGGACTCCCGGAGCTATCTTCCAGGGCTCCCTGGTATGTGATGTGTACTGAGTCCGGAAGCTCAGAATTTAGCTTGTCCTTGGGGCCAGAGCTCCCAGCCCCAACACAGCATCTGTCACCTCTGTAGCCACAGAGAAAGTACCGCAGGCAGAAGAGAATAAGGGTGGGAGCTGTTTGGGATCTCTCCCCTTTCATCCCTGTGCCTCAAAGGGATTAACAAAGTGTGAACAAACTTTTTATGAGGGAGCGGAAACACTTCCCAGCCCCAGGCCCGAGTGTCTGGGCGGAGGGGAGGAGTCGGAATTCCAGTCAGTACAGACAATTAAACCTAATTGGGCCTTGATGGATGCGACTGAAAAATAGGCAGGTGCAAGCGTGAACTGGGCGTGGGCCGAGGGAGGACCTGGGCCGGGTGCCCCAAGGACAGCCCGTCCTCAGGTCCGTGCAGACTTTAGGGAAGGGAAGGCAGGATGCGGTGGAGGTACTAATGGACCCGGCCTTGGCGGAGGCACGTCCTGGGCAGGATCGAAGTCCTATCTGCCCTGCGGCCGGAGGGACTAGATCATTAGTGCGACGAGCATAGACGTCTGGAGCCCGGCCGGCCCGTAAGAGCTGGGTGACCTAAGATTCTCCCTGCGAAGGGGTGGAGGAAGAACCTCTTCGATGGGGTTTAGTGTCTTGACCCTTTACGAAATGATTGAAGGGAAAGAGGAAAGTTAGAACAGTTCGGGACGGGGCAGGGTTAGGGAGGATAAGTGTCTGAGGATTTTGCAAAATGGATGGGGGTCCTTTAACGCGTCCGCCTACAGCCGTCCCCAGACAACGTAGCTTCAAGGGGGGCGGGGCGTCGTTTGGGACCGCCTTCCTGGGGGCCACACCTTTAGGTCTCAGTGACGAGCTCCTCGAGGGCCGGGGCGTGGCAGAGCCTGAAGAGGCGTGGCAGAGCCTGAAGAGGCGTGGCAGAGCCTGAAGAGGCGTGGCAGAGCCGAGGGTGGGCGGGTCCTGGGCGTGGTGGGGCGGGACCCGGCGTACCGCCTTAGGCTGAGTCTCCCCGCGGCGGGTGGCGGGTGGCGGGTGGCTGGCGGCGGAGACCCGGCGCGGCGGCCTTGGTTGCGGCCTCGGCCGGAGCAGCATGGATTGGGGCACCGAACTGTGGGTGAGTCCAATCGGCCTGTCTCCAAGTTCTTCTGTTACTGGGGTACAGACTCCCGCCTTTGCCCCTGCAACATCTTAGACGAAGCTCCACGCTTTTCCTTCTACCGATCCCTGGAATCCCCGCTCCGCCCTCTCGGAGTTTCCCGGGGCGTCTCAGGACGCCCGGGGCCGAAGGGCGACCTTGCAGGTGCGGCCTAGGGAAACTGAGGCACAGGGTCAGAGTGAGGAGAAAGAAATCCTAGGACCAGGCCGGGACGGCCGAGTGAGGTCACCTATTTTGAGCGTCCAGGCTGGGCGGGCGGCTTATCTTACGGCCCCTGGGTTCTTGCCCGCCGCCCGCCTGTCCCGCTGGTGAGGGGGAGGGGACCGTCTGGCCACTTTCTACCCCACGTGGGACTTAGAAGTTCTGACCGCCCTTTGCGTCGCCTCCAGTCAACACCTAGGGGCTTGGGACGCTCTAGTGGGGGAAGGGGTTGTGAGGCTGGCTCTCCTCCCCCAGCCCTTTCCAGGCACGAGGAGGGGCCGGCCCCAGACACCCTCTAAACTCAGCTCTGGAAACCCCAGGAATTTCCCCCTATCCTAGCCTGGACCTCCGACCCCTCCTCTTTCTGGGGGCGGTGGCATCCCTGGGTTCCTGGGTGCAGCGAGGTAACTAGATCGCCCCCCTCCTCAACTGTGGGATTTCTTTTGGAAGTGCAGTGGAGTCAGTGGGGTAAACTGAGTAGATAGGGGTACCAGAGAGCGTGCGACCCGGAAAACTTGGTGTCTGCCCCGCTGGTCATTCTAAGCCCCCCCTCAAGCTGCAGGGAACCCTGCTCCTTTAGCCCTGACTCACGCCGGGCCGGCCGGATTTTCCGGAATCTGGGGGGATTAGGGGAGTGGCCCTGCCCCGTTCCACACCCCTCTTGGCAGTCGGGAGACGTCCGGAGACGGGGACCCTGCCGTCCGGCTGGGGCTCCGCCCCTGTTCCCTGGCCCTTCCCGGGAAGGGGAGGGGGTTCCCGCCGGTTTCCTGCCTCTCCGCCCCAGCCGCGCAGGGGCGGGTGTGGGAAGCCACTCCTTCTTGTAGCTCATAGCCTTGAGGCTCCCTGGTGTCTGGCGGCAGGGTCCTGACCCGGTCCTCCCCACCCCCACCTTCTGTCAGGATCAATTTGAGGTTATAGAGCGGCACACGCAGTGGGGGCTGGACCTGTTGGACAGATATGTGAAGTTTGTGAAAGAGCGGACCGAGGTGGAGCAGGCTTATGCGAAGCAGCTGCGGTGAGACCCTAGGGTGAACTTCCCCTGGTGCTAATGGGCGCGTTTGGGGGGCTGGGGGCTCAGCCTTCCTGCCTCTCTCTCCCCTTAGGAGCTTGGTGAAAAAATATTTGCCCAAGAGACCTGTCAAAGATGACCCTGAATCCAAGTAAGGATGGAGAGGAGGTGTGAGGCTAGATTTGGGGGGACAGGGAGCGTTGATCCCACTTTCCCTGTTAGCTGGGCCACTCATTCAGGTCCCTCACCTCTCATCTTGATTCTCAACTAGAGGTAAGAGCATAGGAACAGGCTCCAGGGGTGAATCCTAGATCACTATTTTCTAGCCAAACTGCTTTGGGCAATTGACTCAAGTTCTCTGCTTCCATTTCCTCCCACCTATTAAATGGGGGAAGCTCCAGCAGTTACTAAATAAGTGACTCTGGGCAAGTGACTTAAGTTTTGTGCCTCTGTTTTCTTCGTCTGTAAAATAGGCATGATGACCATGACCTTGTGGGGCTCATGTGAAGATTAACTGAGTTAATGTGTTAAAACAGTGCCCAGCCCATAGTAAGTAGGAGCATTTCACTTTAATCTGGGTCTCCTGTACAGAATCCAAAAAGTTCTAGAAATTAAGTTTTTCCGGTAACTTATTTGGAGGCCACCTCTGACCTGAGCTCACTTGATGTGGATCAGGTTAATTATGGGCTTGGTTGTTATCCCACTTGGTGTGAATATTAATACTTTTCACTGTGAAATTATTTATAGTATTTGATTACAGCAGAGGTGTCAAACTTACTTTCATCGGGGGCCACATCGGCCTCGCGGTTGCCTTCAAAGGGCTGAATGTAATTTCAACTCCTTAGCAGTTAAGGAGTATTACATTTATATAGTCCTAAAATTATTTCGTCCCTTTGAAGGCAGCCATGAGGCTGATGTGGCCCCCAGTGAAAATGAGTTTGACACCCCTGGACTACAGGAAGTTGCCCCTGACCCCACTGGGGTGATGCACAAAAGATGGTATAAGCATTGTGTCTTTTTTCTAGAACCCTCAAATTCTGAGTTCTGAAATTCATCCTACTCAAGAGTTAGGGGTATGGGATATGGGCCAGAATTTGTCATTGCTTCAGGGGTGAATGTCTTGGGTCTTACCCCTTCTCATGGAGATGGGTTCTGGGGCCTGACCTTTGGCTCCCTGCCTCCCTCTCTCCCTGAGGTTCAGCCAGCAGCAGTCCTTTGTGCAGATTCTCCAGGAAGTAAATGACTTTGCAGGCCAGCGGGAGCTGGTGGCGGAGAACCTCAGTGTCCGTGTGTGTCTTGACCTGGCTAAATACTCACAAGAGATGAAACAGGAGAGAAAGATGGTAAGTGGTCTCCTCCCTGGGTCTTCCCGAGGGCCCCTGCCATGACCTGAGCCTATTGTTCCTCTTCCCACAGCATTTACAAGAAGGCCGTCGGGCCCAGCAGCAGCTGGAAAGTGGCTTCAAACAGTTGGAGAATGTGAGTTTGTGGGTGTGGAGGGTGGCCATTGTCCCAGGGAGCATGGTGAGGGTTGCTGACCTAGGGCTGTCCCCTTTGTCTGGCCAGGACCACCCCCTTCCCTGAGGGTTTCCTCAGTACCCATTGCTCCCCATTTACCGGGTAACTTCCTGCCAGTCCCTGAAATCTTGGCTTCCCATACCCCCTTGCCATCAGGGATGGTGGCAGCCCCCTCATTCTGGTTCTGTTCCCCACACAGAGTAAGCGTAAATTTGAGCGTGACTGCCGGGAGGCGGAGAAGGCAGCCCAGACCGCAGAACGGCTAGACCAAGATATCAATGCCACAAAGGCCGATGTGGAGAAGGTGCTTGTGGGGTCTGGGACAGGCTCAGAGGTCAGGATGGGACAGGGCCAGAATCTTCCAGTGACCCCCCACCTTGATATTCTTCAGGCCAAGCAACAGGCCCACCTTCGGAGTCACATGGCAGAAGAAAGCAAAAATGAGTACGCAGCCCAACTACAGCGTTTCAACCGAGACCAGGCCCACTTCTATTTTTCCCAGATGCCCCAGATATTTGATGTGAGTGCTCCGAGCCCCCAGCCCACCTTCCCGAAAAAGACCTCACTGTTAACCATCTCCTACACATTTGTCCAAACCCCAGAGGCAGTGTCCCAGTCTCTGAACCGAAAGGGGTTTAGAGACAGTAATAGTGAGCTCTGCCTTCCGCCAAGTTGTTCCTCCTGCCAGGGATGTCTGTCTTAACTTTTGAAAATCCTATTCATTCTTCTAAGCCCCAGCTCTAACAACCTCTCTGAAAGATCTTGAATTTTCCCTCTTCTTTTTCAGCTTTCTATTCCACTCTCTGTCTTAATCCTGGGATTGGCAGTTATCTATGCTGGGTCTGTTTTTTCTCCTGCTCCATTGTTGCCTCCTTTGAGAAACATTTCTTGACTCCCTAGGCAGGGGATTAGTGGGTTCCTTCAAGTCCCCTCTGAAACCACCCTGGCCCCTTGTCTCTCCCTTGACCACCTTGGGTTGGAAGGGTCTGTGCTCCAGCCCCACCATTAGCACCCCTGCCCTGTCCCTGCAGAAGCTACAGGACATGGATGAGCGCCGGACCACCCACCTGGGGGCTGGGTATGGGCTGCTGTCAGAGGCCGAGCTGCAGGTGCTGCCCATCATCACCAAGTGTTTAGAGGGCATGAAGGTGGCTGCCGCTGCCGTGGACACCAAGAACGTGGGTGCCTGATCCTGGGGTGGGCAGGAGGACCCCGAAGTCTAGGCACCTAGTCTGGCCCCTAACTGCCTTCTACGCTCCCCATGCCCTCCCTCCAGGACTCCCAGGTTCTTATTGAGCTGCACAAGTCAGGCTTTGCCCGCCCAGGCGATGTGGAATTTGAAGACTTCAGCCAGCCCATGAACCGTGCGCCCTCGGATAGCAGCCTGGGCACCCCCTCAGATGGTCGGCCTGAGCTGCGAGGCCCGGCCCGTAGCCGTGCCAAACGCTGGCCCTTTGGCAAGAAGAACAAGGTGGGGGCCAGGGTTCTTGGGGAGGGGGTATGAGTGGGGATAGTGACGGTGGTGGGGGGGCCCATTGAGTCAGCTCCAGCCACTGGAACTCTGAGTCCCGGGCAGGAATTTTCCTCTTGGCTGCCAGCCCAGGCTAGAGGGAAGGAAGGCGGTGATTGGCCTGGGAGTCCCCTGAGGCTGATGGGGGGCCAGGAGAAGGAGGGGGGATGTGGCGTCTGTCTGCTGCTTCTCAGGATGCTAGGAGAAGACCTGCTTGTGGCATTGAGGGCTGGTCAAGGGCTCAGATACTGGCCCTGGGGACTTCCCCTGGGCCTCTCTTCATCCTACCTATGGGATTCCCAATATCCAGGCTGTTTTTATCTTGGGTTTTTTGGTTTTCAATGTCAAACACGTACCTAGACACCCTGGTTTATACCTTCAGCAACTGCCCCCTGCCTAGTTTGTACCTTTGGCCCTTGCTACCCTGCTTCAGTTTATATATGGCACTCCTCCCTACCCGGCTGAAACACCACCTGTAATCCTCTGATATTTCATGCCTTTGACCCTTCTCTCTGCTTGCCCTTGACTGCTGCATACATCTCCCCCCACGTTCTAGACTGTGAGCCAAGAAAGCTGGGGGTGGGGAAACAGAAGCACAGGCTTAACCCCGACCTAGGTACTGAACATGGGGTGCAGGGGATGTGGGAGATCCTGGGGGAGGAAGGGGTCTGGCCTTCTGGCTCACAATCTGATGCCCTCCTGCCATCTCCCAGATTTTTGTGTTCTTTGCATGCATTTTCTGTGTGTAATTGTGCATCTTGAGTTGTGGTTTTCTTACCGTTTTTTTTCTTTTCTCCATTTGATTTTTTCCTTTATTGCGTCCCTCCGTCCGTCCATATCTGTACTCATTCTCTGTACTCTCCCACCCCTCCTGACCTACCCCTCCACGGTCCCCACTGGTAGCCGCGTCCTCCACCCCTCTCCCCCCTGGGGGGCCCCATGCCCTCGGCATTGCCTAATGGACCCCCGTCCCCCCGCTCCGGCCTCGACCCCTTGGCCATACTGAGTGAGATCAGTAAGTCGGTCAAACCGCGGCTAGCATCCTTCCGCAGCCTTCGAGGTAGCCGTGGGGTAAGTGAGGCCTCCAGGGGAGGAGGAGGGGCAGCCCCAGCCTGCCCAGCGGCCGGGTGGCGGGACCCTGGGCTCGCTTCCTGCTGCCGGCTGGGCCCCTCCTCCCATTGCGTGACTCGGACCTGCTTTGCTGTGTGCATGGCCTTGCCCCCCAAGAACCTTGGGTCGGGAGGAAGGTGGACTGGTGTATCTTATGAATGTCTTAGAGCCTGGGAGCTCCGACTCTGTGATCCAAACTCAGTTCTCTTTCCACCTTGTAGACAGTGGTGACTGAAGATTTTAGCCACTTGCCCCCGGAGCAGCAGAGAAAGCGGCTTCAACAGCAGCTGGAGGAACGAAATCGTGAACTCCAGAAGGAGGTTGACCAGAGGTAAGGTGAGAGGGAGGCAGACAAAGGAGAAAAAATGACAAAGAATTACAGATGCTTCTCAACTTACCATGGGGTGATGCCTGATAAACCCATCATAAACTGAAAATACCAAAAGTCAAAATGCATTTATAATACCACACTGCATAGTATTACTTATTCACATTCCTCATCGTGGCTGACTGGGAGCTGTGGCTGTCTGCTGCTGCCAGCCTCACGACAGAGTAGCGTATTGCATATCGCTAGCCGTAAAAAAGATCGAAATTCGAAGTATGCTTTCTACTGAATGGGTATAATTTTCAGGTCATCACAAAGTCGAAAATCATAAGTCAAACCATAGTAAGTCAGGGACAGCTGCACATTGAATTGTACTCAAACCTCTCCCAACAAGCCCCAGGCCCTGGCGGTTATGTAGGTAATTCCTACCCCCTCGTAAGAAACAGTTACTTTCCATATTATACAACTCATTCGCACACCCAAAATGAGTGAACGCCACCAGCTCATTTTAGAGGCTGGTGGCGTTTCGATTTCAAAATCAGTTAGCAAGAATTCAAGAAAATAAAATTACGGGTTCATTTTAATTCACTTAGGATCTTAGATGCTGCAACATCCTAGCCAGGCAAATCCAGTGGTGTGTGTAAAACTAACACACCATGCTGTGGTGATGGCTGCACAACAGTGTGAATGTGCTCTGTGCCGTGGAGCTGTATGGTTGGCGTAAATGAACCAAAAATGGTTCAAGAGGGAAGTTTCATGTTATGTATGTTTTATCATAATAAAACAGCTTTTTAAAAAGACTTTTAAAAAGTTATGAGCAGTTGGGTGTTAACCCCATAATGCAAAGACAGTTCAGTATATAAAAAAAGCTTATAAGTCTCATTCACCACATTAATGGGCTAAAAAAATGACATATGGTTATCTATTAACTAACTCAGACACTTAAAATATTAACAATAACAAATCTGGCAGATTAAATAAAAGTTTGTACTCATTCTTTCCAAACAGCAAGATCCTCTTCCCAGTCTTCTTACATAATAGAAATGACGTTTGCCACTTGCAGACAGGCAGACAAAGTCTATTTTGCCATTTTGTATAAAAGGGCTTTTATTGGTGTCAAATTAGGGCTTAAGGGTACATGCTCTGGAGTCAAGACAGACTGACCTTGAATTCCAGCTGTTTTGCCTCTCTGTGCCTCAGTTTCTGCATCTGTAATATGGGTCATATTAGGACTGGAAAGAAGTTGAACCCATGTTTGACATTTTCCAGAAATCTATGCTCACAACTATTATTGCTTGTATTTTTAGTTTTGAAGGAAATAGGGCCCAGGGACTGATGATAAGAATAACACCTAGCAATTATAGAGCACTTACTGTGTACCAGGCACTATTCCAAACCCTTTCCATGGATTCACTGGCATTCCCAAGTTTTCCTGAGAGACTGTGTGTGAGCAGAGGCAGGATCCTGGCTGACTTGCTTGGTGTTACATTTCTGATGCCTGGAACAGTGCCTGCCATGCAGCCCTCAGTGTGCATCTGAATAAATAAAGGCACTGTTGTGAATCTTCACAACCATTCCCATGAGACATATATATCATCATCCCCATTGTCCAGGTTAGCATACTGAGACAGGTTCAGAACAACCCCAAATGACACAACTAGGAAATGCCCAGACTGGGATTCGAGCCCAGACGTTGAAGCACTACTAGTATGTGAGCTTTAACCACTGTCTTTGGCTATTTGCTCCCTGAAGCAAAGCCCATATTTTTTGCTCGTTAAATCACATAGGGCTGATCTTTTTCCTCTGCCTGTCTGGTCCTAGGGAAGCCCTGAAGAAAATGAAGGATGTATATGAGAAGACACCCCAGATGGGGGACCCCACCAGCTTGGAGCCCCAGATTGCAGAAACTCTGAACAACATCGAACGGCTGAAATTGGAAGTGCAGAAGTATGAGGTCAGGGAAGACCCTGGGGAGGGGCGGGGGCCGGCCAGCCCGGCTGAGTCACAGCCTGGGGGACAGGGAGGTGTTGTGGGGAGGCTCCAGCTGTTTCTCATCACAGCTCTGGGTGTGCATGGGTGATCTCAGGAAACATCTGAGCCCAGAGCGGGCTGACCCCAGAGCCCTGCCCTGGAACTGACCGCATGGTCTTCTCTCAGGCTTGGCTGGCAGAAGCCGAAAGCCGGGTCCTGAGCAACCGGGGGGACAGCCTGAGCCGGCACACCCGGCCTCCGGACCCCCCAGCTAGCGCCCCACCCGACAGCAGCAGCAGCAGCAGCAGCAGCAACAGGGAATCACAGGACAACAAGGAGAGGTGAGTGGAGTAGCCACAGTGGGTCTGCCCCCCGGGACATGGGAGGCCTTGCTTCACTGCTTTGCTCTCCCCTACCAGCTCTGAAGAGCCCCCCCTGGAGGAAGGCCAGGACACCCCCATCTACACAGAGTTCGATGAGGATTTTGAGGAGGAACCTGCATCCCCTATAGGTCACTGTGTGGCCATCTATCACTTCGAAGGTGAGCATCAGTTTGGGTGGCGCTGGGGGGTGTCTGGCTAGGTTCTGTTCAGATTCGCCTGAAGCAGGCCTGAGTCCACCTCCACCCCCACGACAGGGTCCAGCGAGGGCACCATCTCCATGGCTGAGGGTGAAGACCTGAGTCTCATGGAAGAGGACAAGGGTGATGGCTGGACTCGGGTCAGGCGGAAACAGGGAGGTGAAGGCTACGTGCCCACCTCCTACCTCCGAGTCACGCTCAACTGAACCCTGCCAGAGGTGGGAAGAGGGAGGCTGTCAGCTGTCGGCTGCTGCTTCTGGGCCACAGGGGGGCCCCCAGGACCTACGCACTTTATTTCTGCCCCCGTGGCTTCAGCTGAGACCTGTGTAACCTGCTGCCCCCCACCTCCACCCCTCACCTCAGATGGACCCGCTGTGCCTTCTACCATTGATGTACATACTCGTGTTTTAAATCTTTTCTTCCTGCCACTTGACTAGGGCTGTTTTGTTTTATATATTAAAAAAAAATGATGTCAAGTTCTTGGAGTCCATGCTTTATTAGGAGATTTAGGTGCTAGGGTGGGATATTCAAATGCCACCCTCCTTACAGGCCACATAGGGAATGAGGAAGGGGAGGTGAACTTGGGCACACCTTGGACATACCCTGTCCCTTCCTAAGAGTTGGGTCCTTGTCTGTGACCAGTGTAGGGAAAGGGTGCTAAACATCATCCCTTTCGTGTTTCGCTGAGAACAGGTGGCATTTATTGAGCACATACTGGGAGCCAGGCATTCTCCACCCATGGCCTCTAAGCACTGAGCTGTAATTCCCATAACCCTTAGAAAGTGCAGCCTCACTTTTGTGTTGAAGGAACGCACAGAGAGGGCAAGCAATCTGCTAGAAGCCACACAACTTTTATTTATTTTTTAATTGTATTTATAGTTTTAGAGGGAGGGGAAGGGAAGGAGAGAAACATCAGTTGCTTCTCACAAGCCCCTAACCAGAAACCTGGTCCTCAACCCAGGCATGTGCCCTGATTGGCAATTGAACAAGTGACCTGGTTTTCAGAACAACACCCAACCCACTGAGCCACACAGTCAGGGCTAGAAGTCACACATTTGAACTCTGGCCTCTTAACTCTGCAAGTTCCCTTATCATTAGAAGCTACGTATTCACCATTTGTGGGATGTGTGTGGGGGTGGGGATGGGGGAGGGCAGCCAGGGCCTCTAGACATCTGTGTCTTCTGGTGTGGGGTAGGAGGCTCCCCTCACCCCAGGATCCCAGTATATTTTTAGTGGGCAGGGTGGGTCTTGCAAGTCAGGGTGTGGGTCCTCACCCTGTTTGGCTGTGTGAGCAACCTGGGATGACTTCCTTGGTGTCCTGCTGGGGTCCCCAGAAGTCTGAGTGTACCAGTGTGAAGAAGGGGATCTGCACTGAGCAGTCAGGCTCCAGGTGCTGCGACAGGGCACTGAGGATGTGCTGAAGCTTCTCCAGACGAGCAGCTCGCGGAGTCCCCTCGCCCCAACTTCCCCAGAGCAGCCTTCGCAGGAAGTCAGTGGTCAGGGCCTCCTGCAGCTCCGGGTTCAGCTGGAATCCTGGGGGCAGGGCTGGGTGCGCTGGGGGTGGGGCCCAGTCCCCTTCCCTGCCCCTCCTCACATCTGCATTTTCCCCTGGGGACTTTGATCCAGCAGAGGCTTGGCGGGACTCTGCTCCAAGTACTCTTGATAATTAGGTAGGGTTGGTGGGGAGCGGGCTGCTGGGTCTCTGGAAGTTTGGGGAAGGGCTTGGCGGAGGTGAGCTGGGCCAGCGTGCATGGAGGTGCTGTTCCTGATTTGAGCTGCTAGGGGCTCCACCTTAGGGACTGTGCCTGGAGATAGAGAGGCCCGGAGTCAAGATTTGGGGTCCCAGGACAACCTGCGCAACAAACTTGGGAAGAGTTGGGAGGGGTGGGAGTGCGACCTGTGGGCGTGACTCTGGGGGGCAGGTCCGCCCCTTTCGGCTATAGGTCACTTTCATCACTGCTGGTTGCAAAGCAGGCTTGGGAGTCCCTAAGAGGAGCCATCCCAGTTTGTGTGGGACTCTGGGAGGCGTGGCAAGAGGCTTCGGTCCCTAGCAAGATTTGGGGGCATCCGGTTAGGGCAGCACAGCACAGAGGGGGCACTCACCTTGCAGACGCTGGGCCGCGGCCTTACAGAATTTGGGCGCGTCCTGGGCCATGTGACGCGCCCCCTGCAGGATGCGTAGCAGCTGCTCTCAGCTCCCGTCCAGCTGCCCCGGGAGTTCCTCGCCTTCCAGCAGGCGCGCCACTGTTACCACGTGAGGTAGCGCCACCTCGCCAGGGTCGCAGGATCCTGTGGGGTGAAGGGTGTGGGGTTGGCTTGGGGCGGGGAGCAGAGCCTAAGGTGAAGAAGGCGGGACATTGGGCCAGGCATCCTAGGATTAAAGTAACCGACCGGCGGGACTTGGGTGGAATAGGCTTGAGCCTCGCAGAGCTTGATTGAGTCAAGGGAGTGGTATAGGGCAGGGGCGGGGCCTAGGGATTGGGGCCAGGACCAAGCCTAGTGCAGAGGGTGAAGCCTAGGGTACAGAAGGCGGGGCCTATGGTAAAGGGGTGGGGCTTAGGGCACAGTGGGGGCGGGACCTAGGGGTTGGGTCCAAGGCCGGGTCTGGTTAGGAGGGCAGAGTCTAGGGCGAAGAGGGCGGATCCAATAGCGAATGGGCAGGTCTAAGGATAGAGGCAGGGATTTTGCCTAGCCCTTGGTTAGAATTCTGAGTTAGAGTGGGCGCGCGGCTCCAAATGAAGCCATCTACCGGTGCCCTCATCCAGCGCCCGCGTCAGCGGCTTCAGCTCCTGCTCGAAGGCCAGTGCAGCCTCGGTGTGGCTCCTTCGGAGTTAGCGCCACCTGCGTTCCAGCCGGGACACCTGGGGTAAGAACCCTGGTAAGAAGACTCCTCTTCCCCATCTCCTGCACTCTGGCGTTCCCCTAATCCCTGCACCCCATGCACCTGGCGCATGAGCAGGGCGCCCATAACTGCAACCAGTCCAGGCAAGTCCCTCGCTGCCCCTGGCTGCCACGCCAGTGCCAGCTCCACCAGGCCCTTCAGGGCGGCTGTGCGCTCCTTCAGCGATTCTGTGCAGCTTAGCAATACCAGCGCACTGGCCAGCACCAGCACCTCGTGCCTGTGGAGGCAGAGGGCAAGGGTATGGGGTCGTGGGGAGGTTTTGTATTTCGGAGTGAGGAAGGACACGAGGTGTTATTGCCCATCTCCCCTCCCTGAGTGGGGAAATTTGGAGATCCGGGGAATTCCAGATAGCTGCCTCACCTTTCCGGCAGTTCTGACCTCAAGCGAAGGCGGTGGGGAAGTGTGAGCAGCTCCAGGCCAGAGGCAACCACCGTGGCATACTGCTGAGCCTTGGTCACTCCCAGTAGGCCAGCAGCCTGGGGGCAGGGGCGTTGAGTTGGGGGAAGTGAGGAGGACAAGTGAACAGAGTGAGTGCAGGGGTATGAGACGCGCGGTTGGGCCTCTCCAATGCCTGGTGAGAAGGGACCTTGTATGTGACTCACCTGGCAGTCTGCTAGTAGTAAGTGGAGGGCAGTGCTCCCAGCATGGTGCTCCAGGAACAGGCCTCGGAGAGCACACAGGACTTCCAGCTCCAGGGGCTGATTTTGAGGGTCCAGTAGGCTGGAGGGGGTGCCAGGGGGGCAGAAAGACACCTCTGCCTGTGGCCATGGGCCTTCTGGATCTGGGCAGCTAGCTGTAGCCAGGGGATGTTCCCTGGGCACCGAACACTTGGGGCATGGGACACTTGGGGCACCAGCTCACAGTACGTTGGGGACTGTCCAGAGGCATCAGGCAGCACCAGTGAGGGTGTTTGAGGTGGCTTGGTTGGCAGCTTAAGAAGCTGCCCATCCAAGGCCCTGAGGCTGTTAGCAGTGAATCCCAGGGGAGTCAGGGTCTTCAGCAACACAGGGCCACTACCTATGCAAGACAGAGCAAGGGTGGGCATAGCGGAGGCTCCTGGGGACCATAGAAGACGGGGTGCAGGAGGTGCACAGAGAAGACAGTTGAGTGGGTACCAGCTCATCCACGCATTCAGTCAATACCCAGGTATTCATACCTATTTTGCCATGGCTTTGAACTTTAACAACTTCCCCAGTATAAATGCTACATACTGGTTTGAAAATAAACTTTCTTTGGTACTTATGTAGTTTTGCGAATTCTGAATACCACATTTTAAATCTGAATCCTTTGTTTCTGTCCCTCTGATTGAAGATGACAAAGTATTGATGATAGAAAATAAAAATGTTAATCAAATTCACAAAACTGCATAAACATAAAAGCAACAGAATTCATCAAACCTTCAAATGATGTCATTTGTTAAGTTTGTGGCATGTTTACTTTAAAAATTATTAGAACTTAAAACTACACCCAGACTTTTGGGAGATTCTGTACTAACAAAACATTTAAATAGACCATATTATAGGGCCTTCCTGTGGTTCCCAGCTCACCCTGAGTAATGGCCAAAGTCTTCCCAGTAGCCAAAAAAGCTCTCAAAATCTGAGTTTCAGATCTTCTTCCAACTTCCCCTCACTGCCACTTCTTCAATTATACTCTCCTCTTTTTGTTTGAATGAGTAGTTCAGACTCTGATTCTGGCCACAGGACCTTTGCACTGTTCTTTCTGCCTGAACCACTCTCACCCTGTTACCCACATCCTTCTTGTCCTTACCCCTCGGAATTTTTCTCCATGGGGCCTTTCCTGACTACTATTTAAAATCCTCCATACTCTGTTGTATCTCTTTTTAATTTTTTTTTTAATTTACTGATTTTATAGAAAAAGAGCAAGGGAGAGAGAAAGAGCGAAACATTGACTTATTTATTGTTCCACTTACTTATGCATTCGTTGGTTGGTTCTTTTATCTGCCCTGACTGGGGATTGAACCCACAACCTTGGTACATCAGGATGATGCTCCAACCAGCTGAGCTACCTTGGCCAGGGCTCTCTGGTGTACTTTTAATTATTTTTTTTAAAAGATTTTATTTATTTATTTTTAGAGAGAGGGAAGGGAGGGACAAAAAGAGGGAGAGAAACATTGATATGAAAGATAAACATCAATTGCCTGCCTCTCGTATGTAACTAGACCTGGGACCAAACCTGCAACCCAGGCATGTGCCCTGACCAGAAATCAAACTTGTGACCTTTCACTTTGTGGAATGACAGCCAATTGAGCCACACGGGCCAGGGCTATTATACTTTTAATTCTTACTCCAAATCATCCACAATTGACTAATTTTTGTTGTTCCTGGTCTATCTTTTCCTAACAGGATGTGAGCTCCACTAGGGCAGAAATCTTTGCCTCTCTTGTTCACTGATGGATCTCAGCATGTAGCAGAGGCCCTGGCATGAAGAGAGGGCTCGTGCTGAATGGGCTGGGAGACAGACAGGGCAGGTGAGGCAGACCAGGCATGAGGGAGGGGGCATCTTCTTTAGGGGGGATGATTAGGGGAAGCTGTTTTGAGGAACTCATGTTAGATGAGAAGGAGTCAGAAAAAGATTAGGGGAATGCACTTTCCAATGGCGAGAACAGCTAGTGTAAAGGCCCTGCAGCAGGAACAAATCTGAAATGTTCTAGCAAGGGAAAGGAAGACTGTGACACCGATGGCAGTGCGGGCAAAGACAGGGGTTATTAGGGAAGTCAGCCATGATCAGAACACGCAGAGCTTGAGAATAACGGTAAACCCACATTGTAAGCACCTATAAAGTTCCTATGTGTTTTTTAACCACTGTAACAACTTTGAGAGCATTATTGTCTCCATTTCCCAGGAGGTTATGTCACCTCCCTAAGATCACTCAGGGAGTGAGGGGCAAATAAATCTCTGAGCCATGGCTGTCGTGGAAGTCTCACCTGGTTCACGGTCTGGTTCACACATGCTCCAGGCCTGCAGGCTGACTGGCTCCACTTCCTAGCCCCGGAGGACAGAGACAAGGTGGGTGTGTAGACCCAGCCTGAGCAGGGCGGCCCCCACCAGTGCCCAAAACCACTACCCACCATCACTTAGGGCCGTAGGGTCTCAACCAGGGTGCTGTCTACCCCTGGGGACTTGGCAAGGTCAGGAGACATATTTTGTTTGTCACAACTATGGAGCAAGGTAGGGAGGATTCTACCAGCATCTAGCAGATAGAGACCAGGGGTGCTGCTCAACACCCTACATGCACAGGATAGCCCCCACAGCCAAGAATGATCCGGCCCCAAGGATCAATAGTGCCGAGGTGAAGGAGCCCAGGGGTTTTTGGTGTCACCAGGTAGGTTGGGAGTCTCTTGAGTACCTGAGTAGCTCTCCCTGAGTCAGGCTGTCTAGGAGGGTGCCCTGGCTCAAGCTGAATTGAATAGGCCCTTCCCGCACCACCGGCCTGGAGGCCACAGCCCCTGTAGCTTGGGTCAGTGGGTGCTGGCTAGTCACATAGCTGTGAACCAGGGCAGGCAGGCTCAAGAAACGCTCATCTTCCAGCTGAAAAGGGGATGTGGGCCGGCCTGGCCGGGGACACAAGGCCACACAGAGCACCTTAAAGCGCAGGGCTGAGCCCTGCCAGCGGCAGGAGATCACAAGGTGACCCCCACGGGATGGAGATGTGAGAACCAAGAAGTCACCATCTTGCTGGAGAAGAGCCTCAGCCTTCTGGGGATGGATGATGGGGGCAGGGGGTTTAGGCATGAGCCCAGACCAGTAGGTAATGGTACACTCCCACCCCCACCCCACCCCCATCCAAGAAAAGCCATCCCGGAGACTGGATAGTTTTGTACCAAACCGTTTACCCTTTTCTCATGGGTATACCTCTGGACTACATTTCCCAGGCTCCCTTGCAGTTATAGCTACCATGTGACAAGATCTAGCCAATGTGACAAGGGCATAAGTGCAGTGGGGACTGTCCACACCTGGCCCATAAAAACCATCCTGCAAAATCCTACAGGTTTTGTCCCCTATTTGTCAGCTGACGTTACCAAAGCCCAAGGGTAAGGCTGAGCCACAAGATGGGAAAGGCTGGGGTCCTGACTGATTTCTGGCATTCCATATCCTCACTCTTCAACCACCTTGGACTGTGACATAAACAAGCCCTTAAATGATCCCAATACACTAATCAGAAAGAATATATGCACCCCTATGTTCATAGCAGTGTTATTTACAGTAGCTAGGATCTGGAAACAGCCCAAGTGCCCATCGGTAGATGAGTGGATAAAAAAGATGCGGTACATTTACACAGTGGAATACTATATGGTTATGAAAAAGAAGGAATTCTTACCCTTTACGACAGCATGGATGGTCCTGGAGATTATTATGCTAAGTGAAATAAGCCCGTCAGAGAAAGACAAATACTGTAGATGTCACTTATATGTGGGATCTAATGAACAAAATACTCTGACAAACAAAATAGGACCAGAGGCATGGATACATGGAGCAGGCTGACAGATCTCAGAGGGGAGGGGGACTGGAAGAGATCAGTCAAAGAACACATATGCATAGCCTGGACACAGACAACAATGTGGTGAAGGCTGGGGCGGGGGGCTGGGTGGAGGGGGGCAAAGGTGGGAGAAATGGAGGACATCTGTAATAATATCAACAATAAAAAAGTCAAAAGAAAATGTGTATTGTGTTTGGTCAGTGACATCTTGGATAGGTCTGTTATAGCTACTAGCTGATGCTGACCGATACAACTCCCAATCTGAGTAAACGTACTGTCTTGCTTTGCAACTGTGGCTTCAAAACAGCACATTAGTTGGATTATCCCATAGTGTAGCCCATAAATCCTCCTTTATAAAATTTTCAAGCTGTCTTATGACAGCCGTGACGGCTGGTGTGGTAACAGGAGCTGAGGGCTCTGACGCAGGAGAGGCAAAGCAGAGCTGGTGATGGGGGCTGAGGACTGAACAATGCATGCAGTAGACACGTGTACAGCCTTACTGGGTGCTAGGTGCTGCTTTAGGTATAAAACATGTGAACTCATTTAATCCTTTACCAAGGTTAAACAATAGGTACTATTATCCCCATTTTACACATGGGCAAACCGAGGTCCAGAGAGATGAAATACCTTAGCTTAGATCACACAGAACATAAATTGTAGGGCTGGGATTTAATTCCAGGATGTCTGACTCTAGGGTGTGGGATATGAACCACTAACCTACACTGCCTCATGATTTGATAGGGTGCCCAGGGTCCCAGGACTCCTGAGAGTTGAGGATGAGGGTGGAGAGCCTTGAACTGAGAGGGAGATGGGCCCTGGTGGCCATAGGTGCCTGGGACCCAGAAAGAAAGAGAGACAAACAGAGCTAAGGGTGCTCTGAGGGAGCTAGGACCTTCTTCAATCTCTGTTACCACCCTCAAAACTATCCCAAAGAAAGTGACAATTTAAATATAAGGAGTGACATCCGACACCAACCAAGCTTCAAGGCAGACCATGGTCCCCAGTCACTCCTTCCAAAAGACCTTGATCCTAAATCCCTCCTCTGGGACCCAGGAGTCCCCAGCAGGTCAAAGGTGGAAGAGGCTCCCCATTGCAATGTGCTGAGTCTCTGCAGGAGGCAGTACCTGGCAGAACAGGGGGCCGTGGTACCAAGTTTGGCTGGCAAAGTCCTCTCCATCTTGTGGCAACTGCATGGAGCTTTTCGAAGCAGTGGATGCTGGGGCTGAGTTCTGCACTTTTAACAGGACTCAGTCTTCCATATCTGTAAAATGGGAGTAATTATTCCTGCTTCCTGGGTGGCTGGGTCAGCCCTTCCCTTCTATGCTCCCCTTAGTTTTTTAAAATTTGTTTTTGTGTTCCTCTTAGTTTTGGAGATAACAGCCCATATCCTATCAAATCTTAAAATGTATCTTTCTCTGTATATGTATATATTATATAAATACATACTTTAAATTAAACAAGGTACTCATAGTCAGAAGGAATGTGTGTGTATGTGTGTGTGTGTGTGTGTGTGTGTGTATGCGCCAGACATATAGGTGAAATCTAGACATATGCCAGACTACAGTGACCCTTGAACAGTGCAGGGGTTAGAGACACTGACCCCTGTACAGTCAAATATCTGTACATAAATGTCGACTCTCCCAAAACTTAATTACTAATACCCCATAGTTGGCAAGAAGCCTCACCAATAAAATAAATAGTCGATGAACACATGTTTAGTATGTTATCTGTATTAGATACTGTAGTCTTACAATAAATTAAGCTATGGAAAAGAAAAATGTTGTTAGGAAAATACATTTCCAGTATTTACTGAAACAAAAAAAAAACCCCACACATGAGTGGACCCATGCATTTTAAGCCCATGTGGTTCAAGGGTCCGCTGTCTGTATCCCTGTGATCAGGCTGCAAGTAACTAACTTAGAATCGGCTGTGAGTTCATGGAAACAGCCAAACATTCACTGGGATTCTTGCAAAGGGAGAAGACCTAGGCCCTACTTTCAAATGCAATGGTATGTTATGCAGATGACATAAGGCTACATTTAGAAATTGAATTAACTAATTGACTCAGATCAATATTATGTGGCACCCACTGCGTGCTAGGCACTGTTGTAGGTGCTAGAGACCCAGTAGTAAACAAAACACACTACAGACCACTGCCTTTCCAGTGTGGGAGATGGGGATTAAGAGAATAAATAAGTAGGTGAATGTGTAGATAGTTCCGAGAGAGCTAAGCAGAAAGGTGTAACCAGGGGTGGGATGCGAAGCTCTGAGTGGTGGATGCACATTTCCCATCGGAAGGCCTGGGAAGGACTCCATCAGTAGGGCTGGAAAGACTTTGAGGGCAGGAACCCGGTGGTCCTCAGGATGTGAGAACATCCCAGTATGGAAGTAATTTAATTGACTAATGTCTGTAGCTTCTAAGCAACCTGTGTGCACACAAGGATTCTTAGGGTGTAAGCAAATCTAATCTATACATGGCCTTCCAATGTAACACTACATTTAAGGACGTTGAAAGGCCACATTTCTGTAGAAATGTCAGCAAATGTAATTTGGGAGCCAATACATTCCATCATTATTATGGTCAAATTTAGGTCTCAGACACTTTGGGACTCACTTGACCATCAAATCATGCAGGTCTGTCTCAAACATCTGGTAGAGAAAATCCACCCTGGATAGGAAGAATGTAAGGGGTCCGCTTCTCACTCTCCCTACCCTGCAAGGTCTTTGGGGCCTGGCCAGGGTCTGTGGGAAAAGAGCACCAGGATTCTTACATCCTGAGTCAGCCTGGCTGAGGGCCTGAAAGGCACAGGAAGTTACCAGACCAGTCCTAGGTGGCTTTAGGGGGCGGAGACCTGGGCCTGGAGCTGGCTCCTGGCGATGCATACCTGAGCACCAGGTGTGTCTCCTGGATGCCTGTGCACATCCTGTTTGTCGACCGGGCTGGGCCCAGCCTTGTCTTAACAGTCCCCCAACTCCAGTTTCCTCTGTCTCATGTCCCTTTAGTAGGCACTGAGGTGGATTACTGAAACTCTGGTTAGTCTGGGGTGGGGAAAGCTCAGGGTGGGCAAAAGACACCCTGTGTCTTTTGGAAAGTTTCTGAATATTTGGGCAGAGGAGAGAGGAAGGGGACAGAATCAGGAGAGGGGGTGAAGTAGGGGCAAGCATAGGGAAAGGAGGGAGGGCATTCATGCCCTATAGGCCATATATGGGTGTACACAACTCAGGGGACAGCCACCAGCAAGCACATAGACATATGGACACAGATGGACAAACTTGACACTGAGCAACCACCGATTTGTTGAGCACTTACTGTGTGCTGTTCTAGACCCTGGAAATAACACTTAGGATAGAGACATGCTCTCACCCTTCGCTGTCTGGTGGACAGACACACAACAAAACAAGAATAAGTCCTGAAAGTAATCAATGAAGGTGGTAAAACAGGGCGAGACGTAATAAAATGGCTGGAGAGGCCAGGCTACTTCAAATAGCCTACTCAGGGAGGTCTCTCTCAGAAG